CTTAAGATAATGTCTCACATGGAAACTGTATGCTTTCTATTTCTGTGCTACTTGAGCTATATGTGATGGTTTTAAGTGTAGGCTCTTTTTAAACATTTGAACCAGTTCTTTGTGATGAATCTATTCAACTGATGCAAATTGGAAACTAGGAGTTTTGGGAGTGAAACAGTGAGGTGGTTGATTTTTTTTAAATCATAAATAATATCACATTCTATACTACCATTTAGATGTTTGGGATGAGATAGAATTTATTTTGTAAGAAATTAATAGTTGTATTCAACAAGAATGCATTAAATTGATCAAAGGTGACAGTAAAGACATAATGTTATAAAAGATTTCAATTTTAAATTAATGCTGTTCTTTTGCATTAATCATCAAAGGATCCTCAAAGTATCACAGTTTCCACAAAAATATGAAGCAGCACAACTGTTTTGAACAATGATAATAATAAGTAGTGCTGTCAAACGATTAATCGCGATTAATCGCATCCAAAACACGTTTTTGTTTACAGAATATATGTATGTGTGCTATGTATATTTATTATGTATATATAAATACACACACATGCATGTATACATTTCAGAAAAATATGTTATGTTTATATATTAAATATGTTTATTTATAATATAAATTATATGAATATAAATATAGACATGTAAATATTTTCAAAATATGTACTGTGTGTGTATTTATATATACATAATAAATATACACAAATCACACGCATATATTATGCAAACAAAAACGTTTATTTTGGATGCGATTAATCGCGATTAATCGTTTGACAGCACTAATAATAAGAAATGTTTATTGAGCACAACATCAGCATATTAGAATGATTTCTGAAGGATCATGTGACACTGAAGACTGGAGTAATGATCCTGAAAATTCAGCTTTGCATCACAGAAATAAATTACATTTTAAAATATATTAAAATAGAAACCAGTTATTTCAAATATTAGTTTTTAGTGTATTTTTGATCAGATAAATGCAGCCTTGGTGAGAGACTTCTTTCAAAAACATTACAAATTCTTACCAGCCCCAAACTTTTGAGCAGTAATGTATAAAACCTAATAGAAAACATAATTTCGAATTTGTGATATTTTTGTGTGATGACATAAATGCATGAGTCTATTGGGTTTTGGGTTGACTCTATAAGATTTTAATATTACTAAAAGTTTTCTGCATTACAGTAAATATTTTTCCATATTACAGTAATGAAACCTGGTGAAAATGTGCTTAATTGTTATAAAATTGTTATAAAAAAAATCTTTCTGGCCCTAAAAAAAGTGACATATGACATGTTTGAGAAGATAGATGATGATCTCTGTCCTGTCTTTAGGTCCATTTTTAGAAAGCTCTGAAACAAATGAAAATACAAAACAATAAATAAATAAAAAGAGGAAGAATGATAAAGGAAGTGAGAGAGTAGAGAGGGACTAATAAGTCACATTAAGAGTTTAATCTCGTTTTGAGTTCAGGGAAGGTTTTTTTTCTCTGTAATATTATCTTCCTGTACAGCGTGAGAGAGAGTCAGGCTATGAGATCCAGACCTGGGCACTGACCCACAAAATTTAATTTTACACTGCGGCGCTCTGATAGGAAGTCGGAGCAAGAGGAAAAGTGTGAGAAAGAGATAGTGAGAGAGAGAACGAGAGAGGGAAAGAATGAGTTGTGGAACGGTGAGAGGAATTACAAAAACTCTTGAGCATATAATAAATTATTAATTTAAATTTCCAAGACAGATTGTATCACTGAAGTGTAGAACGAGAAGCAACCGTATAGATAATTAAACCCCTAGAAATTAAAATAGACCAGGGGTGTCAAATGCACAGCGCACAGGAAAGATATTAAAGTAAATTATGCCCAAAAAATAAATAAAAACATGTTTATTATCGTTATGATATACTCATATTCTTGAGTTTCACAACAAACTTTAATATTCAGGATTAGGGTTTTTTTTAATTAAAAATACTGCACTAAAAAGACTGTGGACAGAGTGAGTGAGTGTTGGATACTTACCAAGCCACGTGTTCATCTTCTCTGAACTGCAATGCTCGAGAAGAGGCTGAATCAACACATCTAGATCTTCTTTAGGAGCCTCTTTAGTGAACTTCTGCTTAGAGCGAGAAAGCAAGAGAGCGAGCGAGAGCACTTTAAAGGACAGAGATTGAGGTCAATGCAGCAGAGCACTGCACTACAATCCTTCACCATTAACACCTACTTCCATGAGCTTGCTCGGCAGAAATTTCCAAGGCATCTCAGAAAAAACACATCATAAAAATCACAGTAACAACAAGAAAAAAATTAAGTGTCACCGCACCTCCACAGTTATGTGCAGAGGGTCCACGATCTGCCAGATAAGCAGAGAGAGAACATCAATAGCAAGCAGAACTGCAACGGTCGCATACAGCTTCCACGGCTCCAAATGCTGCGGTTAAATAACAAGACCATAATCGTTAGTCAATGATACACAGTTGCAAAATATCAAGACACTAACGAGAAACTGCTATACTGTAAAGGGGCGAATAAAAGTAAATGTAAAACATTTATGCATGGTCACAGCAGTTGTAGACATTATTGGAATTTTTTCTGTGGAACACAAAAGGAGAAAGTTGTTGAAAGTTGTATGTTTATTGCATGCAGCTTATAAGAACAACTCAGTAGAAAAACATGTTTTCATGTCACTATTTTATAATCTTCATAATCCATATTCGCAATTTGGGTAAACATGATTCCTTTTGCAGGTATTAGTGGAAAAGATTAAACAGCATGGTAAAACAAAAACTAAAGGAAAAGGCCAAAAAACACAACAAAAACATCATAAAAGCATTATGATAGCTTTGTTTTGAGAAACAGATTTACGCAAAAACATGCAGCAATGAAAATTCTCAGTAAATAATGACTTAAATTTTGGTCAGTTTTACACAAAACTACTGTAAAGGTCTTTGCACATGCAAAGTTTCGCATGTTAAAAAATAAATACGACCTCACGTTGTGTCGATCATGTGTTCACACTGCCTCTGAGAGTTTCATCTGTCATAAAAAAAATTCGGATCAGGTTCGATTTTCTGCGTTTTCGCATCCATAGCAAGCATTTTGATAAGAAAGGATGATGAATACGAAAAAAAACCCCGAAAAAACGCATACGAAAATTTTGGACTCACAGTGTGCAAGCATAAGCCATATGAACTACTTTAATGGTGATATATTTGTTCTTTTTAGAATTTGAAAGTCATTGCATGACAAGAGCTTTAAAAAGTTTCTTCAAATAAGTTCTACTTTTATGTTCCACAGCAAAAAAAAAAAAAAAAAAAAGTATATGG